GGATAACCTTTTCTCATATTTTCGGACAATTGAGAACGATTGTTTCCTGTTCACCGATTTCAATGTATAAATGAGTTTATTCGAGTAGCTCTGATAGTGGAATTCATGATAGAACCAAGGACAAAATTTGAAAGAATGGGAAGCATTTCTAACGATTTTTTTTCGTTTCAGCCATTCAGCAATGTCCGGATGACGGTTGCCTACGGTCTTTAAAGAAGAAAAGACGTTCAGTTCTAAAAGGTATAATCTCTCGCCCATGTTATAATTCGGGTGTCTAATCATCAAAACATCATAGGCCGTCTACTTCGTTTGCCCTCTGAAGACTAAATAACTTCATCCATGGAGAATCGTGCAAGTTCTTTTTGTCACATGTTTTCCTCAGCCGTTACAATCGTTTGCGATTTCTCCATACTGCACACTAGAAACGCTGAGTCCGAATCCGCTCATGGCATGAGAATCGGAGCATCCAACGGTGCCAAGTTCAGACCGGAATTTATTCTGATCGCATTATCTCAAAAGAAAATATTTTATTTAAGGGGTTCAAAACATCCCCTCATTGGAACTTTGTTTTGCCCTTAGCGACTATTTGTGATCCCCACATTTTGCTCCCAAAGAAGGCACAAAACTTATTACGATGTCATCGGTTTTAAAGAATCCAAACATGCAATTCTATCACAGGCTTAATCAGTGATGCAGGGATATGCGGAGTGCATGCATGTTCCTGCTCAGGGTTGAGGTGACCTTGAAGTACCTTATCGAAACTGTCCAAAACAGAACGCAAAATGGCACACAAGGTCGTTTTTCTTCTTCAAAAGAACTCATTATATGTCTAAGTAAGGAATGGATAACGCTAGGGAAACAGCTTGTGGTATACTCTTACTTTACGGTTGGGAGTGTTCTCCTCCTCCAAACTGAATTTCAATGGTGACTCATTGTCACCTTTCGGGTTCTTGAGGACCAATAGTATGAGGAGCCTATGGTCCGGATCCGGTTTAAGGGTGGGCACATTGATAATTGCAGAAAACGAATTCTGACTGGCTCTGTTGCAACCATAGAACGAGAAACTTGGTCGGCCCAGAAAGTCCTATTTAGATTATGTACGTGGAACGGTACGGGGACGCATCGATTCCCATTCGTGATGTGACTGGGCTGAGTTCCAGAAGTGCATATAAATCAACCTGAACTCGTGCAGACGGTTACTTCCGAAATGTGATCTGAGGTCGTGCGTGCTACAAATCTCACAAGCTTACCCACCCTTTTAAATGTGAACAGATTGAACAATTCGAAACTGGAAATCATGATAGTAGTTACAATCTCTAGGTCATCATGGCTTTCTCGATACGTTCAAATATTGAAATAGGAGGGTATTATGTATTGTGGTGTAGCCAATTCTATTATTCAGATGTCAGGAGTCGCATGACGTCATTTTGAAGGGCATTTTTGATCTTTGGGAGTCCGTTCGTTTCCAACAAGGTCGATTGCACCCTGTTACGAAGCGGAATTTAGTATGTAATGTCCTACGATGTGCGATACTCTAATGTGAACTCAAGAACGCTAGGCATTTTTGATTCGTATCGAAAATAGCAAAACCAGTGTGCACCGCATTTTTCTGGCACAGAGGTTTCTCGTAAAAAATCTGAAAGATCCAGCAAGAATAGGCTGTCAAAATTTTGATTCAATGATTTGTTTCATCCTCCCGCTTGAAATGACATTTCCCCGATAGCTATACAATTACAGTGACCTTGGTCTACCCAAGGATACACAAAAATTTCATATGAATTTTGCGAACCATTTGAACATGGCTTTATAATACACGACGTTGAAAGAGAGTTTTTTGAGGGTGTCATCATTTTAATTTAAATGGTTTTCTTGAAAGATCTGAAAGTGAATGAAATGAAGCTTTTTCATAAAGGAACATTTGTCGTCTAATCAGAAGAAACTGCGTCTTGTATCTCAGCGATACTGAATATGTAAATTTTTGCAAATTCGAGAAACAATCAGAGGTTAGTCAAACTGGGTGGTATCGGTATGCCGAGATCTAGATCCCGGAATGTTCTATGACTAGTGGGTGAACAAACTGAAGCACAAAACACTGAACCGAATATAGTGATGCCCCTGCAATTATTTCCTACATTAAGCTTATGTGTATAAAGTTTCATAACCTAACCGTTATTCTGTCTATACTGATTTTCTGCTTTCAGGTGAATCCATTACATAATTCATACTCAGTATGTAGTTAGGGATAAATATCGTTTACGTTTGTGGCAATTTCGGGTATTAGAATCCCTGGATTGGAACCGAATTCAGGGAATTATAAAGCATTTAAAGGACATGGTTTACATCTAGGAAGAGCAGTTATTGAATACCTACAAGGACGAAACAACTGTTCAATTTTTTCGTTGACAAGATATAGACAATCTCATCGCAACTGTTAGGACATTGAAAATGGTGTAGAATGGTTGTAGCCCGGGGTACGGATGTCGGTGTTGGTGATTTTTTTGAGCTTGAAGTGTCGTTCGCAGACGTCTCGTCCCATCAGTGCTTCCCCGAAGTCGCACTGGTGATGTTGCTTAGCTTGGCTGCGAAACGTTTGTTAGAACATCGTTCGACAATCATTGTGTCTCTTCTTCTTTAATCAGATCCCTATCATAACCTAATAGCGATCGTCAGAGCTACACTCTGTCTAGGAGAAGAGTTTTCCCGAAAGCGCTCCACCATTTACTGACAGATCTGTCAAGTGCGATGCACATTCGTATCACTTCCGGAAAATTTTGATTATCTCCCGCATTCCAGTCCAGATTGTGGAACGTAAGATAATTTTGGTTTTACGTTTCATTTTGAATATATGCGCATTGGTTTCTCCTGGGGGGGGGGCAGCATTTGTAATCTAATAGGGTTCATTAAAGCGCCGGCAAATATAGCTTAATCATGACAAACAAATTATTGTGTGATTAGTTGGCACACAATGCTATCAGCTCCATATCATCTACTCACAGAATATTGAAGTACACCCGCATCGGAAATCAAATCGTCCGTGGTTTAGGA